TGAAGGCCACTAAAAATGACTAAACAATTGCTGTTGATTGGAAAGATAGTTTTTCTGGTTTCACGCAAGGGCCTCGACATAACATAACATCCGCAAAAAAAAACAGACTACTGTACAGTGGTACTTCGATTTACGAAATTATGTAAGTCGAGACGTGTTTTCCATGTAAAGGCCCTAATCCGTTCCAAGCCCCACCAAAAATTCGGACATAAATGTTTTCTAAAGCATAAAAATGCATCAAAATATGTAACAAATACATGTTCCAATGAAATGATTGCACAATAAATGAGAGTTGTGAATAATGTAAAAAAAAAGAATAGAGTAAAGAATAAAAATGATGCTCATTTAACTTAACTGCGTCCTCATCAGTTTTTTTTTGCCCTCTTTTGTTTATGTTCTGGTTTTTGCCTGGCAGTTTTTTCAAGAACTGATCCAAGGACTTTTGCTTTTGTCGGTAGAGGTCTCTCTTAGCCAATGGAATGCCAGGAAGATGCTGGGTAATAGCCAATGGGAGAGCAGCGATAAGTATGTTGCGTTCAGGAAACTCGGAGATGCGATTAGCAGCCCAGACTGTATTTTTACCTTTCGTATCTCGAAATTTCTTTTGTAACAAGAGGCAATATTTTCCTGTTGAAGCGTTTCGTAACTTGAAAATTTTGTAGGAAGAGACGTTCGTAAGTAGAGGTACCACGGTACTACATTACAAGTGTACCGAGCCTGACGCTAAGCTAAAAGTCGAGCCAATTCATCATTGCCATGTTATTTTTTTCTGCCCTCATTCTCCTTACTTAAAATTTTTTCTCCTTACTTTGGATACGGGCCACATTCTGAGTTCGTGTCTCTTTCCAACCGATGCGTTCAAGACAATGGGGTTTTTCACCGCCGCGTCCATCCCCAAACCGAGCTGAGTCGAGATGGGTAAAATTAGCATCGTTCTTTTTTACGGAAGCATTCGCAAGAAGCAAAATCCTTCTGATCATCGCACCGTGAACTCCGCTGTCGGCAAGCAAACTCAACAACATGTTGACACGACTGATGAAAAGCAAACGTTGCGAGATGTCAAGATCATTAGAGACCGGTATGCTCAATGTCCTAAATGAGGTGGAAATGTAAAAAAAAAAAAATCTCAAAGTTTGGATTCCGTGATCAGTCTTCAAGTCCAAATGCCTTCCTTGCTTTGGTATCTGAAAGAAGCAGATGTTTGGAAGACCCATAAGAAACGGCACATTTGGGTACCATTTGTAATTATGTCTCCCTTCACGATTGATTTCCCCTGCTAGGACATCATAAGGCGTCTTGTGTGCTCGCCAAATGGGATTAGTGAGTTCTGCTTTTCCCAAGGCCTCTGTGGAGCCTCTCTTTCAGGTACTGGAATGATGGAATCCTTCTGAACTTGACGCCCCTCCCACTTCCCCATCATGACCTCCATCGAGTCCGCCTTTGTCTCAACACCCCTGCAAACTTCTTTTTTTTTTTTTTTTTCTTCGCCCTCCCGCCGAGCCTCCGGAACAGCTGTGCTCCGGGGTTGCGTGCGATCGCGAGGAATGATGTGTTGCCGCGGAACAATGCGCTTCCGTTCTCGGGAATGGGCCGGCGGTATTAACAGTTTTATAATAACGGGATTATTTGCCCATCACGGACCCTGCGAGTGTGCCTTGTTATTAGAGAACTACCTGATAAGCTTTTTTGTGTCTGTCATCATCATCCTTGGCCAATTGGTGGCACGCACAACCGCCTTCGAGTTGTTTTCTAAAGCCGTCCGCGGCGTTTCGGACTTTTCGAAAGGGGGGGGGATGCGGTGTAAAGTGCCCCCGGGCTGACCCCATGATTGCCGGCTGCGACTCGATTGGCGTTTATTTTTAAACGTCGACTCAAATGCCTTCGCCGAGAGAAAGAGCCCATGAAAAACTTATCTGGCCGATTTCAGGCTCTTAAGATGTGTTCTATTTTTAGGGCTGATGACAAATGTTTTCCTTCTCTCTGTCCTTGTTTTGCTGATATCGAGGATGATGCGTGAAACGAGGAAAATTGGAGAGGGAACACGGAAGCTACATTCGCCACCTTTCCTGTAACTGAAATATTCTCATCGCGGTGCTTTTCAACCACCGAAATGTCATCCTGGCCACTGATGGTGTCGCGGTCCGTTCACCTGACCACTCAGTGACAGTGTAAATGCAAGCGTGACTAGCGAGCCGTCTGTTTCTATAAGCCCAAGATCCTCGCGACGCTGAAGGGGATAAGCGGGATAAAAAAATAATAAAAAAAAGTGGGTGGATTTTGACCAAAGAAACTTTTGGTTTTTGGGCCATTGGATCTATTGTTTTGAACGAAACATTCGATCAGGGTTTGCAGTACTGAACATATCTGATTGGATCACATCTGTTTGCAAACGGCAAATACATAGTTGATCTCTGGAAATTTTGACATTCAGGAACTATGTCAAGTTCCTGAAGTTTTAGGTGGAAATGTGGATTCAGGCCAAAAATTCCTGGACAAGTTTGATCCTTGGGGGTCTTCTTTTTAACCCCAAATTTTTTTAATTTAATCATCTGGGGTGAAGTTCCTGTGGTCCAAATTCACTCGGAGTTGTTTCTAGTACTTTACCCATGGAGGGAAGACTTAAATCGCGTTGCAACATCAGAGGGGAAATTAGCTTTTTGGATTTATTGCCTGAGTGGTCGTAACAAAAGCGGGGTCACCGTGGTGGGAGGGCAGCTCGCATCCACTCCTAAGGGGGGGGTTGTGGGGGTCACACTTGACAATCTCAGAGGATTGTTCCTTCAATTGGAAATGAACAGTGGGATGGAGAAAGGGATAAAACATAGGCGGTGTTCACCGGGTGTTATTATTTTTGGGGTATGGGAAAGCATCAGATCGCAAAAATGTCGTTAATTGTTTTGGATCACTTGCACATGTGCAGTCCACAAAGAACCGTCTCTGAGAAAACCAAACGCACAGTTGGCTGATCAATTATAAATAATTAGGCCGCCTCTTTGTTTTCTTCTCGTGGGCCGGATAGCCGTGACTTCCAGATTCTCGGCTACCTTCCTGGAGTTATTTTAGTCTGTTGGGGGGGTTTCGTCTCGCATTTGAAAACTACAATAGGTTGTTCAGGAAAGTATTGTTTTTCTTATTTCAATGCCTGCATCTGTTGCGCAGATTGTCCAAGATTTTTTATTTTATTTTTTTTTTTAAACACCTAAATGACGTGGCGGGCTGGATCTGGCCTTAACTTTTGACACATGTGACCTACAGTAAAGTTTCAGTACAATTTATAGAATCACTTTATTTCTTTTCCATTGTCAAATGTTTTTATCCAGTAGTTTTTTTTTTTGTTTTTGTTTTTTTTGCAGGGCTGTAAAGGATTGATTACAAATGTATTTGTTCTACAAGTCACTTTGTAAGTCAATATAGACAATGTTCGTAAAGTGAAGTCACAATCAAAACATTTGATGAGGATTTGATCCTTTCATGCGGCGTATCACCTGACAGCTTTTTCCACCGGAACCCGACTGATGTGTTCCTTCGGTGCCGCGACGGCGTTCGTTCATCCCGGCAGACTGTGTGCACTTATATCTGCCGTGGATTATTCCGCCTGGCCAGACGGATTTAGGCTTTGGCACGACGGGCTGAGGATGTGTGCTCACCCGGGCAGCCGACACCGATAATGCTATCTGCAAACGGAAGGACTTAATCTGCTGCCACGCTTACAGTTGGAATGGCGCGCACGCACGGCATCGAGTTAAGCGTCGTTTTCATCGGCGTTGCCCAAAAAAAAAAAAAAATCACAGCCGCGGACCCGCTCGCTCATTTGTCTCTTTCGATTTTCATTCGTGGAATTGGCAATTAGCAGCAGCGTTCGTCAGGGCGGGGTTGCCTTAGCCAAACGCACGAGGCGGTGGGGGCTCGCGATGTAAAATTTTGACGATTATGTGCGGTGATCACATCACCAAAATGATTTTCATATGTAATGAGAAGACACACTTGATGCTTTGATTCGTGTGAAAGTCAACTGCAACGCTGTCGTTGGTGATAAGTGGAATGATAAAGTGGTTGACGGTTGAGGATAAAGAATCCACGTTTTTGCTGTTGTGCGCGCATTAGATTTGCCATTCAGGCATAAAAGTCGTACAATATTTACGACAATTATGACTTTTCTTCTGCGGGAGCATCAATGGCAGGCCGTGCATTTTGCACCCGTGCCATTATCAAGTCGCAATTATAGAAACCGTGCTTGAGAAAAATGCACTATGACATCAGAGCACACAACATCATCTCAAGCAGTTCAGAGTCAAAATGGAGCTCATGACCTGGAAAGATTTTAAACATGAAAGACAATACATCATACTCACCAGAGTTGCTAAATATTAAATGTATTACACTGTGCGGATGGAACAAATTTTACTCTGACCTAAAAACAAAATAAATAAAAAAAGATTACATCATTGAGGGCTCAATTTTGTTCAGGCAAGCAGAGAAGTTCTTGTTCGCCGAGACTGCCCCCCCTACTGCTTAGCATTAGCATCAATTCAGTATCAATACCACAAGTATCAATACCAGGTATCGATATCAAGCTGATTTTGGCCTTATTGTAAGGTATCGATATTGTGCAGCCTGCCGATACCAGCCACCAATACTTTAGGCTAAAAAATAAAAATGTGACATTGAGTTAGTCCTCCTCTTCAGTAGTTGGCGCTATACTGCGGCTTTTTGACACAATGGCGAATCGTCATCTGATTCAGAAAGGATTTTTTGGTTTTATTTATTTTTTTGGTCATTGTGTTAAATGTAAATTGAATACATCAAAAGTACTAGCAGTAACAGTACTCGGTTTCGGTGAATACCCGTATGGGTGTCAAGCTTGAAAAAAAAAAATGTTGAACATCCTTAGTGAGCTTCGGATAGTTGATAGACTTGCGTCTAAATTTGCGATCCGCCGCAGAATTTCGTCTTAAACCGAGGAAGCCCTGTCAAATGTTTTCTCTCGTCTCCTCCCACAGGCTGCGTGGTGTGGCTAACGCCGTCGCGGTGCCATGGCTCTAGTTCAGGCTCTTCTTGTCGCTGACCACCCCAAGCCCGCCGTCGACGTCCAGCAGTGCCAGCCGCCCTCCTCCTCTCCCTCCCCGCCAACCTCCTGCAGCTCGGCCACCGCGATGGGTTCCGTCAGCAGTCTCATATCGGGCCGGACGTACCAAGAGAGGCACTGCCGAGCGGCCAGCGAATTTAGCGCCAAGCAACGGCGCTCGACGCCGGCCACCAGCTGCTTCCGCCTCCAGGATGACACCCTCCGCAGCGCCAGCTCCTTAGAGCAGCTGTTGGTTATCTGCAACCAAACGCAAGAGCGACACCCCCAGGCCCAGGTTCTGCCACCGCCGCTGCCCACCAAGAAGCAGCCTCGGCCCGGCAACTCTGCGTCCGGCAAGGGCGCGACGACCGCCGCGAACAAGAACTCTGGATACGCGAGCAATGAGTTGGTCGTCGGCGATTGGAATGACAACGTGGTCGTGTCCGCTGTCAGTCCTTGCAGCGACTCGGAGGACCAACGGGACAATCGGACTCTGAATGGCAATATCGGAGGACCTCCCCCCAAACTCATCCCAGTTTCCGGACAGCTTGAGAAGGCAAGTAGACGAAATGACGCTATATATCCATCGAGGGTGATCTTTTGGTCGTGAGTAGTGTTGCGTTTGCGCCAAGCGTTACTTTTGGAGTCTTCAAATCGCGTGATGGGTCCCTCAGAAATAATTTTTTTTGTGTGTTGGGGGGCAATGTATTTGTGTGTTTCAGTTAAAACTATCCACCAGTTGCTCATACAAGCCAAAATTCAGAGTCGATAGCGGGTCAAAATTCCCGTGATGTTTCATTATGCCGATGCTTACCATGAGCAAAAAGAAGATTATTGATGACAAGATCAGGGTGGGCAGTACAGTAGGTCACGTACATCAGCAGTTTTTTTTTTTTTTTTTTTTGATTTGTTATGTAGGATTTGAAAGACATTTAAATGACTCATTCTGTTTTTTTTTGTTTTCGATGGTGGCCACTTCAATGTATTAGTTCCAGAATTGGCTGCAACTGGCCACAGTTTTCTATACTGCCATTAGATGGCGCTGTCGACGTTAGACAATGTTACGTCCAACGCGGCCTATATAAAGTATTACAAGATCGTCCGATCGCTATCCAGGTATTTTGGTTAGTAAATAATACAATAAAAAATGTTCGATTAAAATCATTCATAATTTCTATGTATGTTTTAACCTTTTAACCTAATTTAATTTTTTTTTTACTTTCCTAACTTAATGATCAAACCAGAGTTGGCCAAGACCCATTCCTATTGTAAAAAAAAATGTACTTGACGACAAATGCCGTCGCTGGCACTCTTTGTTAGAATTCACGTCAATGGTGCTCAAAGAGTGAAAGAACAACAGAAAACGTTTTTTTTTTTAACTGGTTCAAGATGCGAGTCTACCTCCAGCAGAGCTGAACTTGTCTCGTTCTGTCCTTTTTAGAACATGGAGAAAGTGCTGATCCGTCCAACAGCGTTCAAGCCTGTCGTTCCCAAGAATCGCCACTCGGTGCATTACCTTTCTCCGCGACCAGGCGGCTGCAGTCTGTCAGAGAGCCAAGGCAGCCTCAACCTCCTCCTTCCCCTCGCCGCGTCCGCCGGCGGACCAAACGCAGCAAGCGGCGGTAGCTCCTCTTCGGAAGACAAGCGCGACTCCTTCGGCGGGGCGTGCAACGCTCGCAGCAGCCAGTCTTGCTCCATGTCTGACTCCGGGAGGAACTCCCTCTCCAGCCTGCCCACTCACAGCAGCACGGGCTATAGTTTGGCCCCCAGCGAGGGCTCCAGCTCCGGGTCAGCCCACCCGGAGCCCGGGCACGTTCTGGTCAGAAACACTTCAAGTGGAATCGGGATTCACGGTCACTCGGATAGCGGACGTTCGTCGTCCAGTAAGAGCAGTGGCTCGGGGTCACTGAGCGGGCGCGGGCAGCCCCTGTCGGACAGCGGCTCGTGCGGCCACTCGTCGCCGCCTGCGGAGGGCTACGAGGTGGTGGTGCGGGACCTGGAGGAGAAGCTGAGGGAGCGCGACATGGAGCTTCAGCATCTGCGGGAAAATCTGGATGAGAATGAAGCCGCCATCTGCCAGGTGAGACCCGAGGCAACTCACTCACTGAGCAAAACGCGAGAGGAAGAAAACCCATCTCATCGCAAGACAGGGTTAAGTTTGTCTTGATTTGGGGGCCGATCCCTGAAAAGATTTAACACCCACCAATGGGATTCTAACTGTCCGTAGATGCAGCAAATCACTACTTTCCATTAGACATTGCTATGGCCTAACTAAATGAGGCTCCTCCCCTTACTTGAACATCGATAAAATGGACGACCTGACTTCACCCTTGCAACCTCAATGCTTTTTTTTTTCCCATAAAAGGTGTATGAGGAGAAGCAGCGTCGCTGTGAAAGAGAAATGGAGGAGCTGAGGCAGAACTGCGCCACCAAGATGAAGCAGGCCTCTCAGAAGGCCCAGAGGGCGCAGCAGGTGTTGCAGTTGCAGGTTGGCCTTTTGGAATTCTTCTGCACTCAAACGTACTCATTTAATTTAATGTCCTGGGATTTGATTGTGTCTGAATAGCTTTATTTCAATTTGCGTAAAATTTTGCAACGTCTCTGTGTCTGCATGAAGCCAGTAATGTTGTCGTGTTGTCAGATATTCCAGCTACAGCAGGAGAAAAAGAAGCTGCAGGAGGACTTCTCATCTCTGCTGCAGGACAGGGAATCTCTGGAGAGGAGGTGCGCCACCATCCAGCGTGAGCAGACGCAGCTCGGCCCGCGGCTGGAGGAGACCAAGTGGGAGGTGTGACACTTATTTTTTTTTTTTTTTCCTGGCAGGATCATGCTAGCATGAAAAATACAGTTCAAGTCATTGAGGTGCTAATATAGGATATAGTCTTATCAGATAAGTGGAGCTGTATTCAAGCAGAAAGCTTACTTTGAAACCCGAACCCGAAATTAAAGCCCTATCCGTAGTTTAAAATCGTAACCCTAATTTGAAACCCAACTTTGTAACCCAAAGCCCAATTTAAAACCCTAGTTTGAAACCCTAACACTTCTTTGAAACCCTCATTTCAAACCCTAATCCCACTTTGAAACCCTAACCCGACTGTGAAACCCTACTTTGAATCCCTAACCCTAGTTTGAAACCTTAACCCTAATTTGAGACCCTACATCAAAATCCTAAACCTAATTTGAAACCCCAACCCTCTTTTGAAACCCTGACCCAAATTTGAAACCCTAACCCTAATTTGAGACCCTACATCGAAACCCTAACCCGAGTTTGAAACCCTAGTTTGAAACCCTAACCCTAATTTGAAACCCCAGCCCCATTTTGAAACCCTAACCCTAATTTAAGACCCAACATCGAAACCCTAACCCTAGTTTGAAACCCTACTTTGAAACCCTAACCCTAATTTGAAACCCCAAACCTATTTTGAAACCCTAGAAGAGACTTCATCAAATATTCCAACAAAGAACAATAGTCAGCAACAGTAGGTATGAGAAAACATAACCCATTCTTTCTAAACATTTAGTTTACATGAGTTCAACCTCGATAAATAAATTGGCCAGACGATTAATTTGTTGGCCCCTCGTCATCAAACTCATCTTTTTGACCTTCACACAAAAATAAATGTGAGCGAATATAAGCAAATTGCATACTACAAAGTACACGTGTCTGTCTGTTTTTAGTAGCTGAAAGGAGAAAAGCAGAACCATACTTTGACATTCACTTTAGAGGCGCGTTCAAAGAACCGCCAACAAATGTCAGGTGCACATGGAAAAAAAACACGACCAACCAATTCAACCTAACGAACAACAAAATCTCTTCCCATTGCGTCACGTCGCGGTGGGCCGCAGGTGTGCCAGAAGTCGGGCGAGATCTCCCTCCTCAAGCAGCAACTGAAGGAGATCCAGTCGGAGCTGAGCCAGAAGGCCGGCGACATCGTGGCGCTGAGGGCCCAGCTGAGAGAAGCCCGATCGGAGCAACAGGCCGGCCAGGCTCGCTGTCAGGAGGCCCAGGCGGCCCTGCGCACTCGCGCCCTGGAGCTGGAGGTCTGCCAGAACGAGCTGCAGAGGCGCAAGAGCGAAGCCGAGCTGCTGCGGGAGAAGTTGGCGCGCCTGGAGGACGAGACGCCGCTGCGCCTTGGGAGCGCCAAGGCCCCGTGCGTCGGCCTGCCCCTCCGGCAGGGGCGGGGCCTGTCCGGCAGGGGGGCGCCCAGCCCCTGCGTGTATCGCGACGTGGAGGACTGGGGAGGAGAGAGCGATGAAACCAAGGCGCTGAGGCAGAATGCAGAAACTCTGCTGGGACTCAGACAACAGGTACTGTCGGCCGATTTGCAGCAGCTTCATTATTGAGTACATTCAACGTGTTTTTGTCAGTGGCTAAATCGGTCAGGGTTTATTACACACACAGCCGTTATTCATTAATCGCAAATGTTTCTCATTTGGCAAATATGCTCTTATGGTGGAGATATCGGCAAAATAAAATTCCAATAACCCTTTAAATCTCATTTGCTGCCATTGACGGCTGTAGAAGGAAGTCAACAGTGCATTATTTGAACTGGGTTGGCCCTAATTTCCAATCATGTGACGAGATCAAGATAACGCTTTAAACATAAATTCACTCCATAATACATGCACAATATATTTCAACACGAAAATATAATCAAACAGAATGGAATACTTGGAATGCATTTTTTTTAGGTTGTATAGAATAATGTCGCATGGGTGCGAGGTGGACTAACGAAAAAAAATTGACCAAAAAGTTACCAGAAAGGCTGCTGGAGTCAAAACACGTCATGTTTGTTTGCCTTTGTGTCAGGTTGACAGGCTGAAGGCCGAGCTCATGTACGAGAGGAGGACAAGTTAGGAGCAGCTGTCTCGATTTGAAGATGAACGCAGGGTATGGCAGGAGGAAAAGGAAAAGGTAAAAATTACTTCAAGTCAGTCTTGACACATTTCCATCATCAATCCACCCGTTTTTAACCAGCTTTGCGGGCAGCCATTTTGTCCACTACTGTTAGCTGTTGTCTATTGAAATTGACAAAATGGCAACTTTCTGCTTCATTCTTATGCCACAATTGCAATATGAATTAGAATATCGCATTTAAACTAATTTCTGACTGGACTTGCACTTTAAATAGAAGGACACCTACAAACAAAGTTATTTGTACTTTATTTGCTTGCGTCATTTCCCTTCTTCCCCGGACCGGACGATCAGGTGATCCGCTACCAGAAGCAGCTGCAGCAGAACTACATCCAGATGTACCGGCGGAACCGCGACCTGGAGCGGGTGATGCGGGAGCTGAGTCTGGAGCTGGAGACCAGGGACATGGACGACTATGAGGTGCACAGCGGCAGCAACGACATCCACTTTGAGGAGATAACCCGCACTGAGAT